GGGACAGCTTGAGGCTCTGTCACAGCCAAATACAGAGAAGTGCTGGTACACATATAGAAATTATTATATAACATAGAGAAGGAGGAGATTCTCCCCAGCTCGTTCCAGTATCACATTGATACCAAAACCAGGAAAGGAGACAAGAACAACAAAAAGGAAACTACAGAGCAATATTCCTTATGAACATAGATGGAAAAAACTTCAATAAAATACTAGCAAACTGAATTTAGCAGCACATCAGAAAAATAATCTGCCGTGACCAAATGGGCCATCCCAAGGATGCTAGGATGCTTCAGCGTACGTTAAATCTGTGAATGTGATTCACCACATAAACAAGCAAAGACAAAGACCATATCATCATCTCAACAGATGCAGAAAAAAGTATAAGTCAAAATCCATCATGCTGTAATAATACAAACCCTAAACACACTAGGCATAGAACATAACTCAGAATTATCAAAGCCATATCTGACAGACACACATCCAACATCAGAGTGAGGGGGAGAAGTTGAAAACATTCTCACGAAGAGTAGATTTTTGCATTTATTGAGATGACTATATGATTTTCTCTTTAATCTTTTAAAAAATGAATTAAATAGATTTTATAGTGTTGAAACTTTTTTGCATTCCTGGTTTCAGGTCAACCTTTAAAACACGGCTATTTTATTCTTTTACATTTTTATTTAGAAGTTTTTCAGCTATACTTAGAAGAAGCCTTGGCCTATGGTTTTATCTTTGTGCCATTTTTGTGTAGTTTGGATACTAAGGCTATAAACTTATCTTAGAATAATTTGAAAAGTTTTCCTTATTTTCCTGATGTTTTGGAATAGTTTATGATGTTTTATAATAAAACATTGTAAAATTTCAAAAAGTGTATTTTTTTAGTCTTAAGTTTTAGTAGCTAGATATCCTGTACTTTTATTTTCTAAATTTGATTATCCTAGCTTAGAACAAACAATGCCTGATGCATAGTAAAGAGGATGTTACCTGCTGAAATTCCTTTTGTAGAGTAAAAAATCGAAAACTTTAACAGATCCTTCCTGGGCACAAAATTCCTTAAATGTTAATTATTTATAAGACTAATTTTGATAATTATGATTTTGAATTCTAAATACCTTTAATTATTTTTGGTTTGCTTTTACCTGTCACTTTATGAGCAAGATATGTTAAAAGTTCCTATAATTGTGCATCTATTATTTTTATTTACATTTCAATTGTTTTATATATTTCTGTAACAAAGCACTTAAAGAATAGATAGTATACTTTTTAAAAAATTGTACCTTTAGGGAAAAGACAAATTGGTCTTGTATTATATGAGAGAGTGCTGCAGGAAATTCTTTCAAGATGTATTAGAGCACTTATCTGGAGGAATTGCCCAAGCTGACCATGAGCAGAATAGAAAACAATGATGACACGGTGAGTGTACAAACATGATAGCGCATTCCTCAGCCTGATGGGGAACAAAAAGAAAAGAGTGAGTATAGGGTGCAGAGAACAGATGAGCTCAGTCTGTTTAGGAAGAGAGGTGGAATTTCTGTGTATGGTTTGTACAAAAAAAAAAAAACTTATTAAAAAATTTGAGCTGATAAACAGAAAAGAAAAATTGCAAAACCAGGGAAAAAACACTGCAAACCACATTCCACCATTACAAATTTATATGTGCAAATATCAAGAGACAGAATGAATATGGCAAACTGAGATGAGCAGATGCAATTGAGAGCTAAGAGCACTGGGGAGAAGATGGCAGTGTAAGGGTCAGTGTTACCCCTGATGGAAAGACTCCAGCAAGGACACAGAAGCAACATCCAACCCAGCATCAAATACAGGATGATTGGCTGGGCACTCTCTGGGAGGCCATGGTGGGTAGATTACTTGAGCTTAGTTTGTTACCAGCCTGAGCAAGAGTGGGAGCAAGACCCTGTCTCTACTAAAAATAGACTATCTAAACGTGGCAGGCACCTGTAGTCCCAGCTACTTGGGAGGCTAAGGCAAGGGGATCACTTGAGCCCCAAAAGTTTGAGGTTGTTGTGAGCTGTCACTCTGTGGCACTCTACCCAGGGTGCAGAGAGAGGTTGTATCTCATAAATAAGTAAATAAAATATATATGACAGTTTTCTCAGAATTGTAGTAAAAACCAAATCTGTAGATTCAAAGTATATGGTATAAACCAAGAAAAATTGATACACAGCAATCTATATTCAGCATATCCTGGTTAAGGATCTACTTTAAGGATAAAGATTATTTAGATTTTTTTTTTATTATTTTTGCTTTTAATTCAGCTGGCTTTCACTCATCTTAGTTTGAAGGGTTTTTTTTGTTTGTTTGTTTTCTTTCTTCCTTTAGTGATTCTTTTGCCCTTTGCCTCCCAAGTAGCTGGGATTACAGGCACCCGCCACAATGCCTGGCTATTTTTTGGTTGCAGCCGTCATTGTCATTTGGCAGGCCCAGGCTGGATTTGAACCCTCCAGCTCAGGGGTATGTGGCTGGTGCCTTAGCCATTTGAGCCACAGGCGCCGAGCCAAAGAAGAAAATTTTGAAGCTAGCAGAGGTTGGTTAATGAGGTTTAAGGAAAGAAGCCATCTCCATATCATAAGAGTACAAGGTAAAGCAGAAAGTGTTGATGT